CCAAAAAGATAGAGACAGACAGAAAGTGAGAAATCACCCCCCAGGGGGGATGGTCATGCTGAAATCCCTTCTCCTCCCTTCTCCTCTGGGGATCTTGGGCACGCATGCACACGCGCCTGGCATGAGTTTAAGCCACTGGGTCTGGGACTCAAACCACAGTCAACTATGTGGGAATCCAGTGCAATAGCCATTACACCAACTGCTGGTCCCAAGAGGTAACAATTTCAACAGTTTTACAATAAGGAAATTACAAATAAACTCCCAGTGAGAGGGATAATGGCTTTGAGGAAAGCTACCAGTGCAAAGTAAGGCAACAGTACCTATATCTAAAAGGTAACAAAGCAGACATCATGAGTAGGGAAAAAAAAAATACACTAGAAAAGGAAAATGTGGGGCCAGCCAGTGGCGTGGTGGTTAGGTTATCTGGATCCCATGTCTGACTGCATGGTTCAAGTCCTAGACAAGGTGGCTTGAAAAACATGTTAGGCACACATGCCCAAAATACCTAGAAAAGAAGGGTTTTGGCCTGGTCATCCTTACTTTTTCACTTTTTCTCTGTCTGGTGAGCACATGCACCCTATAGCAAGAAACTAAACAAAAAAAAAAAGGGAAAAATGTATTTCAAAGAACTATTGTCCTAATTTCAGTCCAAACTCTCATGTGTCAATACAACAGATTCAAGAAAATATATCAAATAAAACATTCTCTCACCTGTCAAAAATACGTGCTTCTTTCAAGACATTTCCTAAATTGATATAAGCATCAAGAAAATTTGGATCAAGGGTGACAGCCTGAAAATTGCAAGACAGTTACTTAGAACAAGTTAGGATTTCACACACACAAAAAAATAATAACTTTCTGATTACAAATTTATTCTGAGGTCATTTTAAGGTTTCCATTTCTATTTTCTAGTATAATTCAATCTTATTTCACTTTTAAAACCTATTTATTTAGTACCGTCTCTTTATCTACAAACCTCAATGTTATCAAAATAACTTCGCAAGTCTCAGGTTCTCATAGGCAAAAATGGGTCCTGCAGGGAAACATTAAAGTCTGGATCTGCTCAAAGCTGAATACTTCTAATGATTGGTCCTATCATTTTATTCAAAACTAACGGTTCTAAAAAATAATGGCAGAGCCCAGCAGATGGCATGGAGGTTAAGGTAATGGGATCCCACTGGCTGACTGCATGTTTCTAGTTCTGGACCCAGTGGCTTGAATAATATCTCAGCTGCATGTGGGTTCATGCCCAAAATCTAGAGAAGAGAATGGAGAAGGGATTGCACAATGGTCATTTCCCCCAGGTGGGGAGGGGTTCTCACTTTCTCTCTCTCTCTCTCTCTCTCTCTCTCTGGTAAGTGCACACACCCTATAGCAAAAAATATGAAATGGCAGAAACATCAAGCTCTTACTTAAAAGAAAATACTTATCTCAGTTGTAGACACAGTATACACATATGCCCAGTAATATCTGAGAGGAAGAGTTTATGTAAAGTGGAATTAAAGTACACATTGTGGCTCAAAAATTTCTGCAGTCTATAATGCATATTTTACAGTTTTTTTCATAATATGCATTTTCCATTAACTTTATGAAGACTCCTGGCATATAATTGAGAGTTATATACTCAATCAGATGCCTCACTTCAAGGAAATACTAACCATCAAAAGGTGTCATCCAAATCATTTTGAATTTGTCTTTAAATGTTTGAATATATCTAGAGCAGTGATTCTCAACCCTAGCAGAATACTAATAATTCACACTTCCTAAAAGGTACCTAGGCCCTGTTAAAAGTCAATTAAATCAAACGCTCCATAGATGGGGCAGAACATTCATATCTTTTACGAGCTCTTCATGTGCAACCAAGGTAGACAACTACTATAGTGTAGTAAATGCCAAAAAGGCAAAGGTGATGAGTAACTGTAAATATAATAAACAAAAAATGTCTCCTCTTCCTTTAGATAGTAACCTTGTAGTAAAGACAGCATTTAACTCAGATTATCTAAAATAATAGATGCCCAACCCAAACCCTTTAATCTTTTTATTATAAAAATTTTTAAACACACAAACCAGAGGAACAAACCCCCAGGTTCCATTATCCATCTTTGGTAATTCATGAATCATGTTCAATCTTAACCTATATTCTGAGAACAGCAGATGTCATAATGGTAATTACATCGCTGGACACCCATGTAGTTAACAGCGGATCGAGTCCCAGAACCGGCAGCTTAAAACTCACGCCGAGTACATGTGCATACATGTCCAAAATCCCAAAAGGAGTGGAGAAGGGATTGCAGTATGACCATCACCCCTGGGGAGGTGATTTCTCACCCTACAGCAAAAATCTTTCAAAAAAAAAAACCTCACAACATCCCATCACCTCACACCTAGTATAACGGCTATTCTTAAATAGTGGGGACCAGCAGGTGGTGTGGTGGTTAAGGCTCTGGAGACTCCCACATGGCTAGCTACAGTTCAAGTCCTAGACTGGGGGCTTGCTTTCTCATTTTCCCTCTCTCTCTCTGGTCAAATTAAAGTAAATGAATAAATAAAATTAAGTAAACAATTCCTTTCAAAAAAGAAAACACACAAATGGCAAGTTGGCAAGGATCTGGAAAAAAGGGAACTCTAGAGTATAGTCATTTTGAAAAATAGTATAGAGAGCCCTAAAAAATGTATACTCTTTTAAATCAATGTTCAAAATGAGTTGCTCCTGGGTCTCATTTTTTATGGCTAAGTAATATTCCATAATGTGTATATGCCATACTTTTTCTTTTCTTTTTTTTTTTTTTCTTTTGGAGAGGTTTTTGCTATAGGGTGCATGCACTCACCAAAAAGACAAAGGGATA